ACATAAGGAAGAGGAAAAAAAAATGCATTGGGTCGCTTGGGAGAAAATTTTGTGCTCAAAGTCAAAAAGTGGTTTGGGCGTCGTCTGTTTAAAAATTAAAAATGATGCTCTGTTAGCAAAATGGGTCTGGAGATTCCTTTCTAGTTCTAATGCCATATGGAAGGATGTGATTTCTGAATTTTATGGCAAGGGTGGTGGTCTCTTTTCTAATAGGCCTTTGGCTGGAAATAGTGTTTGGGTTTCTATTGTCAACACTTGCAGAAATGTGACAGTGGAAAGTCAGAATGTTATTCAATCGTTTACGAAACAGATTGCTAAAGAGTCTAACTCTCTCTTTTGGAAAGATGCAAGCATTGGTCAAGGGTCAAAGCTGAAAGATATATTCCCTAGACTTTATGCTTTGGAAAGGGATAAAAACGCCGTCTTCAAAGATAGATGGACCTATGTTAATGGTTCTTGGTCTGGTGCTTGGAACTGGAATAAAACGGTTAGAGGAAGAAGCTTAGATGATCTTCTAGCTTTAAAAAGGCAACTCTCTCAAACACATTTTAATACTTCGGGCGAGGATGTGTGGTCTTGGAATTGGCACAAGAGAGGGATTTTCACGGTAAACCACATGTCAAAGTTAATCTAAGAGCTAGCTGATTCGAATGGTGAAAGCGACGATCCTTGTTTTTGGAGCCCTTTAATTCCGAAGAAGGTAAACATTTTCATTTGGCGTTTTCTTAAAGAGGCTATTCCCGTAAGATTTAATCTATCTAAGAGAGGGATTCAGTTACAGTCTTTGGAGTGCATCCTATGTGAAAAAGGTGTCGAAACAATGGATCACTGTTTCTTTTCTTGTTCGGTGGCAAGCATTCTTTGGAGGAAAATTTGGGCTTGGTGGGATCTTAAAGCTCCMCGACTTTCATCGGTGGCTGATTTTAAAATGCTGATCAAACAAGTAGGATCTCTTCGCAAGGTTGGTATAATTTTTTTATCAGTTTGCGCTGTGGCTCTTTGGCATATTTGGAAGTGGCGGAACGAAATTCTTCATGCTGAGGATGAGGTGAAAACCAAGAAAAAAGGTGAAGATCCATTCCCTTGTGTTCAAAATGTCTCGAAGCTTTGGATGGGAAACAGAAATCGTAAATTCCATCTTAATTGGGAAGTTTGGTCTTCCTCTCCCTATTTTATTTAGTCTCATTGATTTTGTCATCCCGTATGTTTGGGATAGGTTTTTTTACATTGGTTTTGTAAAGGGATGTCTTGGTTTCGTCTTTTTGCCCCTTGTGTTTTTGGTATCTTTGTATTTTTCATGTATCTAGCTTCTTGCTAGATTTGTTTTGTTTTAATATAGTGGTTGGCTTGGTGAGGGTGATGGCCATGCCGAAACTCTCTTCCTTGTCCTTCCTTTTGCCTTTCAAAAATAAAATAAAAATAAAAGGCATGGTTCGTTTTTTCTCGCATAAAAATACATTATTTTCTTATTTATTAATAAAGACAAATTGTATGAAAAAGTAACATACTTTAATTTGATTCTTATTTTGGGTAATATATTTTTTTAATTTTCATTTTGGTACCTAAGATAAAAAGTTTTAAATATTTAAGTATCCGGGTAGCAGATTGAAACATTAATCGGTTATCATGCTGATGTGACGAGTGATATGATATCCATCTCAGTATTATTTGCTGACATGGTTGGTAACATGAATTTTTTTTATTTAAAACTAATCTTCAACCGGTTACCCGGGTATTTAAATGTTTAAACTTTATATCTTAGGTATCAATATGAAAGTTTTGATAGTACGCTACCCAACATAAGAGTTAAGTTAAAATATATTAATTTTTCATATAATTTGCCCTTCTTTATAAACATTATTACGTAAATACTAAATGTTAAATTAACTTGTATTCAAGTTTTTGTATTTTACAAAAATAACCCAAAAATTTGTTTTTCTTACATTACAAAACTTTTTAAACTTAAACTAAAATTTAAGGATGAAAATCGTTATATTTCAAAAATCAAAATACTTTGGGTATCATTCTTTGACTTTCTTTTTTAATTTAATAGTTTTTATAAATGATTTTTTGGTTAATAATATAAATTAATTAATTCGTATATTAAAAAAATCCAAAAAACTTTTAATACGACGACAAAATTGAAAAAAAAATGTTTATTTGGATGGCCCCCAAAAGATTTATCCGCTTTGTGACTTTGAAATGTGAGAGGGACCGCAATTCAATTTCATAGATACGGGAAGAAAGTGACACCGTTTACACGGTGGAGTAAACTACCACCCAACACTTAAATAATATAGTAGTTGTCTATCTGTGTAATGTGATGTGAGCTGTGAATTTTAATGATTTTGAAGTTTTATTGGTTTTATTAGAGAATATTTAACGATGATATAAGTTACACTTGATCTTTACATATTAATACAATTTGAATAAATAAGATTAGAGTTCCAATTACAGCCTATCGATGAAAAAAATTGTATGACAATTTAAAATCCAATATATTTAAATCAAACATATTTAAACGACTCTACAAATGTATTCGATTTACACCAAAAACAAAGAATCAAGAGATCGAGAGCGAGAGTTCTAGAGCAATTGAATGAAAGAACTTTTAATAACTTATGGTGAATATTAGTTTAAATCTCACATTGGGAGATGAGAAGACATGGAGGTATGAAAAGGTGAAGATATGAGTGAAAGATGTCAAAAGTATCTTGGGAACATGAAAAGAAAAGGTAATAATATGTATTGGTAACTTGCACTTTATATTATTTTAATTGTAGATTAACAGATTTTAAGACTGAATGCAGAAAGTAGTAGTACTTAATGCATTATGAGTTGTTTTCAAGACTTTTAAGACTTTGTGCATAAATGTATAGTACTTTGTACATTACAAATTGTTTTTAAGACTTTTGATAAATCTGGTTTATAAGATAGTATAAATATAGAGATGTAAATTAAATATAATATTTATTTCACTGCTCCACTAGAAATTCCCTCGGGGAATCTGAGAATGATTCGAGCTGTATGAAGGGAAACTCTCACGTACAGTTTCTCTTTTTGGGCTCGAGTGTAAAAGCAGAAAGGAGCTTGACTATGATTTATTTGTATTCATATGTGAATAGAGATGGATAATTATAAGGGAAATTTATAAAAATAACCGGTTTACACAACCCTTTGCCACAAAATAACCACATTTTAGAGGTTTTGCCAAAATA